TGTGTGTGTGTGTGTGTGTGTGTGTGTGTATGTGTGTGTGTTAGAGTGTGGCTGTGCGCGCGCATGTATTAGTGTTCGTGTGAACCAAATGAAGGAACAATCAACTAAAAACAAACAAACCCAAAGGCAAGACAAAAATAAACAAAGACTCTAACTCTAAAATAAAAACGAACAATAAAGCAGATGAAGCCAATCCACTGAAACAAAACAAAAATAATAAATAAGTAACCAATCCAAACCAAACAGACCCAAACAGGAAGTTAGATAGAAATGTTCACCTCATCGTAATCCAGAAACCGGTGCCGGAAGTGCTGAGGGCGAGTTGACCTCTTGTGCCGGAACATCTTGTGTAGAGGGTCATTTTCCCGGATAAAGCTGTCAACAAATTTTGTCACAACGTGGTGCAATCAGGCCCTCGTCAGTTTAGTTTTGGGCATAGCATTATAGAGTTATTGATAATATCATCCCGCTTATTTAATTGTTTTGTTTTTTATTAGAAAACCGCACACCCCCCCCCCTCCCTTAAAAAAATTCCAACAAAACAGGCATCTATCTTGTTTTTTTGTTTTAGTAGAGGTTTTACGGCGCTCGCAACTGCATAAGGTCATATGAGCGCCAAGGGGTGGATGTCAACAGGGAAGTCCTTACAGGGAATCAGGCTTACCCTGCTCACCTCTCTAGCTTCGACAGCACAAAGTCTACTTCGACTATCAAGGCACCCCGGAAATAGCGGGTCACAAGAGTGTGACGAACATACAAAAGAAGTAGAGGAAAATAACGATAGTAAGGATGAGGAAAGAAAAAGCAGCAGGCATCTATCTTGTCTAGAATTCGAGGTATTTTCATTTGAAGAAGATAAGGGTCGTTTGGTGTCTGAGGTAAAGTTATCGAGAAAATGTCCTGCCAAGATTGTGAATTATAAAGTTGGAAACGGCAAATTTACATATTTTTTGTTCCTTTGATAAACGGTTTTCAGTTTTTAAAAACCCACACATAAATGTGCTTTTAAGTGGATATAAAAATGTTAAGCTAAATTGAACAAATAAATAAAATTAAATAAAGAAATTTCTAAGAAACTACTTTTGATTTTAAAAAATCAAGCAATGATAGCAAATGCATAACGGATAGATAATGTCAGTTTCTTTAAGTTCATTATTTTGACGAGCACTTGTGGGAGGTTGGCAGGTGCTGTGGTGTGGTTTGCTTCTTCTTTCCTATCAAACATCAATCGTCCTTTCTCTCCTCCTTTTTTATTTTTGCAACACGTCTAATCTTCGGCACTTGTATGAAAAAAACCTTATTATGTTGCAGTTGCCGTAAAGCACTTATTAAAACTAAAAAAGACTAGCACTTGATTTCACTACAATAGCGTACTCACATCAGTGGTTTCTCTGTTACCTCAGATTAGATCTTAATGCTCTTCTTCAATGCATGTAGTGTGCTTTCGTTTCTTTGAGTTTGGACGAAATCTTTTAAAATTAGGATGTCCCATTGCTCTGTTACTTCTGTCTGTCTGTCTGTCTGTCTGTCTGTCTGTCTGTCTGTCTGTCTGTCTGTCTGTCTGTCTGTCTGTCTGTCTGTCTGTCTGTCTGTCTACTTGCCTACATGTCTTGCTCTCTAATAACACTATAGGAGACTTATCGTGCCAACGTGTATCTTTTAAAGAACTTTTTAAAAAGTAACTCAATATAGCTTAAATACACAGCAATTATGAATATATTAACACGGCAGAACACACGATCTCACAAAGGGACATCAAACAGAAGTATGTGTATGGGCCTGGAAATGTTTAATCTCTCTAATATATCTTCGAATGGCTCATGATCTTAATGAAAATAATATAAACTATTACCATAAACAGCATACTGGACACTAATTTTGATATTGCAGTACAGTGAGCAACAATTGATTCTGAAATTATGCTACACTGGGCGGATTCGAACTCGAATCATTCGTCGGATTATCAAATGCTCTACTAGTTTTCCAAAAGTGCATCCACGTAAATGAAAAAAAGGAGATTACTTTAGACGGAGGAAAGGAAACTATAATATGGGTAGAGGGAGAGAGAGATAGAGAGAACGTTTTTAGACCAAAGGCCTACAGTGTCTAGGAATCTTCTATTGATTTTTATGTCTAGTACCGTTCAGCGTCATTTATGACTTCCCGGAAGTTGATTTTGCTGTCCTCCAACTCCTGTCTCAGAGCCTGCGCATGCGCCGGCCGGACCATGTAGTCGCCGGAAGTAGAGTGTCGACTCACCTGTCGCCACGGGTCAAGCTGGGAGGAAAACAAAGCCGTGAATTTTCTAGGTTGGGGGGGGGGGGGTGAGATGGGCGTTTTGGGGAAGAAAACAAAGACGTGTCTTTTAAGGTGTGGGGGTGGGGGTGGGGTCGGGGTAATATGGGCGTTTAACCCTATCCATACACCCTGGTGTCATTTTGTACCCCCAAGGTTGTATTCTTCACATTTTAGAATATGTACTTCTAGTACGAAGATCTCTTTGAAACTTTCAGTATTTCTCAAAAAATCATTTTGACAGACTGCTATGCAAAGCGTACGGATTGGATTAACGATTAAATTACCTCTTTGGAAAGTGGTGGCACAGAGTTCCCCACTTCGTATGGATACGATAGTAAAGCACGACGCACGGATAGGGTTAAAGGGAAAAAAAGAGAAGATTTTGTTGTTGTTGATAGTGTAGTTGTTTTTAATGTTTTTACGCACCCGTCAACATAGTTTATGTCGAAGAAAAATACAAAGGAACTGAAAAAGGTAGTAAATTAATAGACCACTCTTATTATTTTCATCTTAACAAAGCCACGGCTTGCTGCGTTTACGAACGCTTTTGACTAAATTATACTACATATACTACAGACTGAATGCAAAGGTTTTACGCCGCACCAGGACAATTTAGGTAGTCAGAACACGGTGCATACTAGCTCTGAGCACCAGAGCCAATCTAGACTGAGCAGGAGATACAGTAAAGTAAAGTTGTTCTCGCATCCAACCCGGACAATGGGGAGTGCCTTGTTAGTGAGACAACTTCCGGGGCCTTCGGCATATTATGGTAGGGTGGCCAGTTCCTTTCCACGCCACTTTTACTTCCCCAACTCGAAGTCAGGTACCCATTACTGCTGGGTGGGAACGAGGGAGCGAAAAAAATTCGTATCCAAAGCGAGGCTTGACCCGGACTTTCCGCTTCGGGGACGAGCGCACTAACCCCTCCGCCACCGTACCCTCAGGATATCCAGTATCCCAGCAAAAAGAAGGAAATGCATGATGAAATAACTTTCTCCACATGAACTCAAACTTTTGTCTTCAGCGCAGAACGGCAAAGAGCCTACCCATTAAAAAAAACACCCCCCCCCCCTCGACAAAAAAGTCCCCACCAAAAACACAGAACCCTGTCAGCTGGTTGTGGCTACTATACTTGGCGTAAAAAAAAACCCAGACACCCCTTTTTTTAGTGTTTTTTTGTATTGAAAGACTGATTTTAACCAGAAACAATCTCTGTATAAGAAAAGTTTGAACATTTTACAAATCAGTTACCCAAAAAACAATTTTTTAAAAATGAACCTTATGTCCTGAAACTTGATCTTTTAATTGTAGGCCCTAAAATGAAAAGTCACAGTTAATACCGCGTATAGCCGCCGTGGGCATTGGCGACTTCTGTGCACCTCTGCCGCATGCTTCGCACAAGTCTTTGTATGGGATGCTGTGGAATGTTGTTCCATATGTTTGTAAGTGCTGCACGTAGCTGATCCAAGGTGACCGGCTGAGGTCTAAGGCGTCGGCGCACAGTCGTGGCACTTATGGTTCTCCGTCCCTTCCACTCCCTGGCTGTCTTGGTAGCAGGCCGGAAGCGATCTCGTAGGTGCAAGACCCGAATGTACCGGTCATGGGCTGGTGTTGTAGCTCTAGGACGACCCGTCCGGGGACCATCCTGCACGGATCCAGACGTCTGCAGACGATTCATTAGTCGATATATCGTGTCTCTTGTCACATTTGAAGGTCCTTGTCACATTTGAAGGCCCTTGCAACATTTGCTACTGGCGTATTGGCCCTCTGCATACCAACTGCCGGATTGCGCTCTTCGTTCGTTAAACGCGGCATGCTGTATCTTTAGATTTAGATGTTTTGAAATGAAACTTTTAACGTTTTGTTCTTGGCTACAGATAAAAGATGTGTTAAACCCATAAAGTAAAATAAAATAACCAAAAACGTTCGAGAAAAATGACAAAACACGGTTTTTAACAAAACAAGACCTGAGCTTTATTAACTGGGCACCCGATCATAAATGCAGGCTGATCAGGAGTGTCAAGTGTTCACAATCATGAGTGGAAAATTTCAGCTCAATGGGTTTTCAACTTTTCATGAAACACGCAATTGAAATGTGTCTGGTTTTTATTGACGCTAAGTGTAGTTTTGACAGAACATGATTACACTACAGATGAACGTGTAAGGACTTCTAGCATTTAGTGTGATAACGATGTTGCTAATACAGTAATGTAAAAGTACCACAAGACTGCGGGTATGAGACGAGATTGCCTAGTAAATTACCACACTGCTTATAGAAATACTTTACGCAGATGTACTAAATTTCTTAAGTAGAAGAGAACAAGTCACGATCTTTCGCCTGCGGACACAACACATCCCACTAAATTCCTACCTTAATAATAATAGGATCCGCAAGGATACCCCACCCGACAGCCCGTTGTGTGACTGCCAGGATGACACAGTACCACACCACATCTTTAACTGCCCTGCACTTTGCGACCTGCGTTGTACCTACCTACCTGCCTCCCCAGACATCGGAGCTACTCTATGCAACGACAAAGCACAGCTGCTAAAAACCTGTAAATTCTTTGCCATATCGACAGTCCGAAGGGCTAGAACCCAAATGACCGTTGGATCGGAAAAGTGAAGTAAAAAAGTAAATTCTTTACTCACACATGCTGAAACCATAGAGAGAAAGTACCTGTTCACTCTCAAAAAGAGGCGGCAAAGATTATTTTGAAATCGGTAAACAAAGGTGAAAAGATTCCTTTTGCGGAAATTACATTTGTAATGAAGGAAAAAAGGGTAACCGGCAAGTAAAGTTAAAACTTCATAAAATTAAAAGACTTTACTTTACACGCACAAACACAGACACACAAACACACATACACACACACACACACACACACACACACACACACACACACACACACACACACACACACACACACATACACACATACACACATACACACACATACACACAAACACACATACACACATACACACATACACACACACATACACACATACACACATACACACACACATACACACAGACAGACACAAAAACACATTTATAATAATACATCCTCCCTGGAGCTCCCAAGAAACTGAACCACCTGTAGTTGAGGTTCTTTTCCAAATCATTTATCTAAATTGATAACGCTCACATGTTGTTATCGACATGCATGTTTTAGAAGTTATTATTCCCGATATAGTGATACATCATGTTATAAACCCGGCTCCCCGAGGAAGTCTCCAGAGGTAATTGGCCCTATCCGTACGTCGTGTTTTACTATCGTATCCATACGACGTGGGGAACTCTGTGCCACCACTTAACCCTGTCCGTACGTCGTGCTCTGTGCCACCACTTAACCCTGTCCGTACGTCGTGTTTCACTATCGTACCCATACGACGTGAAGAACTCTGTGTCACCACTTTCCAAAGAGGAAACTTACTCGTTAATCCGATCCGTACGTCATGCATAGCAGTTTGTCAAAATGATTTTTTGAGAAATACTCAAAGTTTTAAAGAGATCTTGGCACTAGAAGTATTCCAAAATGTGAAGAATACAACCCCTGGGGTACAAAATGACCACAGGGCGTTCGGATAGGGTTAAGTGTTCATTCACAACATAATCGCACGATTCTGAGATATTTACAGGGCATGAGGCCATTCCAGGTGCCCTAGAATACATTTTCAAAAAATTGATTTTCGCCAAGACCCCGAGTTACGATACGCGGGTTGCTACCTCGCTGTACATATGGAAGTAGTAAGTCGTGAAAATTAAAATTAAACCACATGGTCACGAAACGGAAAAAACAGCAACAGACGTTCGTGTTCGACACACGTTTATCGCTGGTGTACATGGATATACAGAGACGTAACGATAATTGTTTAGACCAGCCTTTTTGTCTGTTTTTTTTTTCAACTAAAATTGTTTCATAATTTGAAACTGGAAGATTCAAGGCTTTAACCCTATCTGTACGCCCTGGCGTCATTTTGTACCCCCGCGGTTGTATTCTTCACATTTTAGAATACTTCTAGTGCCGAGATCTCTTTGAAACTTTCCGTATTTCAAAAAATCATTTTGACAGACTGCTATGCATAGCGTACGGATAAGATCAACGGGTAAATTAATTCCTCTTTGGAAAGTGGTGGCACAGAGTTCCCCACGTCGTATGGATAGGGTTAAAAAAGAAATTCCCAATTTAAAAAAAATGTAGTCATGAAAATTCTTTTTTTTTCCTACTGTAAAACTAAAAAAACAACAACCAAAGTCACGATAGTTCTGCTGTTACAACGCGATATATATATATCCGCAGGTAGTCAGAAAATTAGACAGACGTCGCCATTTCTACACGAACCCCTAGCGTTCCCGAAGAAAAGACAGGTATGTGAGACAGGTGATATAATATGCTCCAACTTAGTTCAGACTCCTCGCTTTGGTCACTTGGCGGTTATTTCCGTCACAGAGATTTGCCCCCTCAGAGTCTTTGAACTTTACATGTAATTTTGGCAGCTGGAGCGAAAACATGCTCTGAGATGCGACACAGATTTTACCATGTGACACATTTTAACAGAATATCTAGACTTCGGAGAGACTCGAAGGAAATATTTTAGATGCAAAAAACTGCAAGATCTTTTTTCCGTCGTTGATCCCAACAGAATTCTGGATTTTGTGGCCTTAAAGGAAATCTATAATTAGTGTTACAATTTTCATGTTAGTGAAAAAATTAAAAAAAATTTAAAACTGTATTGACACCAAATTTAATATTTTAACATTTTAGTGAACGAGTTGACCCAAACCGGACTGTGCAATGTGCTGTTTCGAACAGAACCAACTTTTTTTCTCGCGCTCATAATATGACCTTATAAAGTTGAGAGGGCCGTAAAACTTTTACTAAAACTTACTAAAATTGAGACGGTCCTTCAAATGGCAAAACCCCAAATTCTCACCCTCTTTATCACATTTGGCAGTGGCTACTTTCATTTTTTTGTTGTTTAAAATTTTCTTTTTAAGTTCTAATGATTTTTTTCTGCTAGTTAGTTTTAGTTTTAGTAGAGGTTTTACGGCGCTCGCAACTGCATAAGGTCATATGAGCACCAGAAGATTAGAGGTGTTATAAGAGAGTAACAAACATAAAAAAAGAAGGCAACACAAGGACGATAGATGTTTGATGGGAAAGAAGAGGCAAACCATACCATAGCACCCGCCAACCACCCACATTTTTTCTGCAAACAGGTGTACTTCGTTAACATGAATACAATTTGACTCGCTGACATACACAGTAGAGGTTACCAGCGTGTGTGCTGAAATAGTTAGGCACTCTGCTATCGCAAACAGAAGATTGGGCTCCATTTTAGACTCAAGTAATGTCAAGCAAATGTCCGTGACACGGGGATCAAAAGGGTGGTCACTGGAGTGTGTCCTTGAGAAAGGCACGACCACCCTAGCTCAAAATACAGGGCGCTGCCCAATGGTGACCGACAGTGGCATGGTTGTAAACTGTTCTGTATTTTGGTAATATTGTGTATTTATGTATGTATTTATGCATGTATTTATGTATGTAAAAAGTAAAGTTGTTCCCACATCTGATCCGGGACATTGGGGATTGCCTTGTCAGTGAGACAACTTCCTGGGCCGTCGGCATCTTGTGGTAGGGTGGCCAGTACCTTCCCACGCCGCCTTTACCTCCCAAACTCGAAGTCAGGTACCCATTACTGGTGGGTGGGCAGGAGCGGGCGAAAAAAATCCGTGTCCGAACCGAGGCTCGAACCCGGATTTTCCGCTTCGGAGACGAGCGCACTAACCGCTCCACCACCGCACCCTCTATTTATGTAGGTACGTATTTATGATTATGTATTTATGTATGTATATTATGTATTTATGTATGTATATTATGTATGCTTGCCATTGTAAACCAAAGTGCCCTCATGGGACAAAAATAAGTGTAATTTATTTTTTAATTTTTTAAATTAAAGAAAGTTCACTTCTCGTGAGAGGCAGGCACTGTGCCAAGAACCCCCGCCTGTCTGTCTGTCTGTCTGTCTGTCTGTCTGTCTGTCTGTCTGTCTGTCTGTTTGTCTGTCAGTCTGTCTGTATGTCTGTCTGTCTGCCTGTCTGTCTGTCTGTCTGTCTGTCTGCTGTGATGCCACACACCCACCACCTAGCTAGCTCCAGTCTGCCATGACAGGCAGGGTGAAAGCATCCCGCCCCCACCTCCTACAAGTGAGGCATCGTGGAGAAATCAGGCGCTCGTCAAAATAATGCAATCGAAGAAACAGGCATTTTCCCTCCAGTTTGACAATATTTATCAAATTTTTCTTTTTTGTCCAAACACCGTTTAGAGTCTATATACATATAAAACATATTTCTGTGTGAATTTTATTTTTTTTAAACGTTGAATAATCGCTTAAAATATGCACATTCTCAGTTTTCAATGACTCTCAAGCTATAAAAGTTACCAGATTTTGGCGGCCATCTTCTCGCAAATATTTTCTCTGAAACCAAGCGACCTCCACCTCCTTTAATCTCAAATATCTCGATTTCTATTCAAGATAGATGGATGCTTCTTTCATCGAGGGCAAGACAAATAAACAAGCTTTAAGATGATGCCAATATTTAAACATGCCCATACATTGACAAGCGCCTGATTCCACTGCGTCTTGACACAAATGATCTAAACTACGCTGTTGGGGACGTAAAACTTTTGCAATCTTTTGATGTAGGATGGGACAGGACAGAACTGACGCACGTGAGTTTCTCGTCACCGCCCAAATTGACTTTTCTTGCAGAGCTGGTTGGATTTGAGAGCAAGTGAGGCTGGCAAATAAAGAGCGCCAGCCCGTTTAGGAAATCACTGGGCTGGCTTCCCACGTCATATGTCACTGGCGGTATCGAGGAAAAACTCAAATCGATACTGCAGACGACATTGTGTAGGCGACAAATCACGAGCTTAGTCTTAGAAGGTCACCGCAACTCCGTGATATTGGGAAAACAACAAAGAAAGTGAAATACGACGGCCAAAAAAAAAAAAAAAAAAAAAAAAAAACCCAGCAACAAAACAAACGAACAAAATCCCAACATGATCTATAAGTTTTCTAAACCTTTGATATGGCGAATGTGACATTTGAGCCTGGACTATGAAACGATCAGCCATCCACAAATATTTTTGTCGCTTCAGCAAAATTAAACCATCGGTCGTCAGCTCATCACTGACAGTTTCTCTTTTTATCGTGTCCTGGGAAAATTTGTAGGTATTCTTTCATTCACATAAGATGCATTTTTTTGGTCGGGATTGCAAATCCATTGATAGATTTTCCCCCTTTGGCATTGTCATTCCTTCCATTCTTGGCTACGACGCACGCGTACTAAGCCAACACTTGTGAAGGTTGCCTTTTCTGAACCCTATCCGTACGCCCTGGGGTCATTTTGAACCCCGGGGTTGTATTTTTTACATTTTATAATACTTGTAGTACGAAGATCTCTTTGAAACTTTCAGTATTTCTCAAGAAATCATTTTGACAGACTGCTATGCGAAGCGAACGGATCGGATTAACAAGTAAGTTTCCTATTTGAAAGTGGTGGCACAGAGTTCCCCACGTCGTATGGACACGAAAGTAAAACACGTGCGTATAAGGTTAATCTGTAATATAGGCTGCATGTGCTCATGGACTATTTTGTCAAGTTCTGGATTTTAAATGTTGACAAAACTGAGAACAAATACGTAATATGTGTCACGACTCAATGGAATCAGGCTCTTCTCGTCAAATTTAGGGGATGTGGCGTAATTGGTGTGGTCTTAGAAGGTTGTTCATTTGCCTTGCTTCTAATGAGATAAATATCCATCAATCTTGAATAGAAGTCAAAATATTTGCAGTTGAAGGAGGTGAAGTCGCTTTGTTTTAGTCGTGATATTAGTGAGAAAATGGCCGCCAAAGTTTGGCAACTTCAATAGCTAGAGAGTTCTTCAAGACGGAAAAATTACATATTATGGGGCTTCACTCAATGTTTTTGAGTAAAATTCACATGGAAATGTGTTTTTATATGGACATAAAAGTGTTCGATCCAAAAAATAAAATTTGATAAAAGTGTCCAACTGGCGGGAACATGCCTGTTTCTTCTCCAATATTTTGATTTCGTTATTTTGACAAGCGCATGGTTTCACTGCACACTGCCTCACATATTGTAGGTAGGCCTACAAATACTAGAAGAGAATGAAACCGTTTTCTCCCTCTCTCTTGTCATTTTTTACTTTCTGGGCTTAGTAAGTTAGTACATTTCTCTCTCACTCTATCTCTCTCTACCTCTCTCTCTCTCTCTC